CCCACACACACACACTTACGTGTGTGTATACATACTTGGTGGCATCATAATAATTATGACAATTTAAAAAAAGTCGTAACAAGAAATTGTTGCGATGATTAGGAATATTCGTCTGTCCTGGTTATATCGGGGCAAATGTTCTTTTTCTTTTTACTTCTTGGTTAAATTGCCCTTTGTTGTGGTGCTTGGTGTTGGGTTTCCCGCCTATTTAATGTTTTGTCGGATTCCGTTTCGTTGTCGTCAAATTGTTCTACTCACGGGCTGAATGCCATGTCTCACCAGATCGCCAAAGTGCCTTTGTACAAACATGAGAAGAAAGTATTGGCCGACTTGGTGGAGGCACAGGACGAGGAGAGTGACATGATCACGTACAGGTAAGATTTTTTAAAAATTAGTTGGTGATGATATGACAATTTTGAGGGGGGTGGGGGGTGTCAAAGATAAACGCATTGCATGATAAATAACATAGGCCTAATATTGAAAAGTCAACGTGATTTTTTGGAGGGGAGGGGGGGGGGGGGTGTTTGTTTTTTGTTTTGTTTTATAAGCTTATTTATGTATTTTTTCCGAGTTCAATTTATTGCAAACTTTTGTCTCCGACAGGAAACTGATAAGCGCGGTGAACAACGAAGTGACGACACAGAGAGAGGTGAAAAAGGAGAAAACCGCTCAACAGCGCAGATGGCGGGAACACAAGGCACAGGTCACGGACAAGGCAGAGAGGAACGCCAGGAACGCCGGGGTCCATCTAGAGAACCTCGTGGAGAGAGTCACGGCAGCAGCTAAACGACAGTCCCAGCTGTGAGGAAAACTGACAAAGTGAAGCTTGTTATACACACATTGTCATTTCGCTAACTCAGAATTGAAAAGTTTTATCCGACATTTTAAAATTTGGCCGTTTTGAGTTAATAAGACCATGAGGTCAGAAACTAAAATTTCATGTTCTATCTCTGCTTTATCAAAATCGTTAAAATACCTGGAGTCATTATGAAGTTACTCAAAGAATTGCATTTGAAAAAGCTTGATATGTTGTGAAACTCAAAAAAAAAATGTGATCTCAAGTTTCTCAAAACTGAGTACATGTACTGAGCAGATAGAACTTTGTAATTCTGAGGTAGCCATTTATTGAAGCTATGATTAAAGGAGGCAGGTCCTCTGAGTCAAAGAACAACGTAAACAAGTTAGAGTATTTTTGTGTAGGTATTTTTGGTCAGGGCAGTGAATCACCCGAGGATACACCTTGAGCCCAAAATAATGACACTGTGATGGCTGCACATAGTTTTATTTTTAGTAACGTTTTTACGGCGCTCGCAACTGCATAAGGTCATATGAGCGCCAAGGGGTGGATGTCAACAGAGAAGTTCAAACTAGGAATCAGGCTTTCTCTGCTTACCTCTCTAGCCCCAACAGCAAAAAGTCTGCTTCGACTATCAAGGCACCCCGGAAATAGCAGTTCACAAGAGAGTGGCAAACATACAAAATAAGTAGAGGAAAAATTACGATAGTAAGGATGAGGAAAGAAAAAGCAGCAGTTCCCCCAATGTTGTTCCGGCACAGTAGGAGCATGACATTGATAAATCAGCCCATGTACAATTTTACTAGACTGTGAATAAGAACCTGGTTAATGTCCCTCCCACCCCCTCCCTTTGGGGATGGTCTAGAAACAACTTCAGTCAGTAGCACTGCCCTGGGGGAGAGAGGACACGATGACAGCCACATTTCTCCAGGCACCGACTAAATCTTTAAACAAGCTGGAAAGAAGTAGAAGGAGACACCACAGCAGAGCGACAACCAATCACTCCCAAAGACAGAAAAGAAAGAAGTCAACAGGACAACATGTCAGAAGATGGCTTGGAACAAAACAGAAAACCCAAAGATTCGACTATGTGTATAAATAATATATTGATACAAAACATGAAGTATACACAATCCACTGGGAAGAGTAAGGCGGCAAAGACACAACTTATAAAGATATATATATATATATATATATATATATATATATATATATATACATATATATATATTAATGCATAGACTTTTAAACAGTATGTGTGTAACATACGTAAACACTTGTCAAAAATCTACCAACAGATTCACATTGTATAAATACATAGGTACATCGAAGACTAGAACTTAATACTGGATACACTACGGGCTTGCATTAATAATTCTTTAAATGGGATCTGAATGGAGAAAACCTTTTCGCTAAAGGTCTAAGGTTAAAGTTTAAAAAAATAATTGATCCCATTAAGGCACATTGACGCTTCTGTACAGGATGATTCAGGAACACATCGGTATACACAACAGCTCAGTTCTATAACAACACTATAAAATAAATCACTCACAGACTTGATCCAACATTCTCACAGAGGACATCAACAACATAATCAAATATCATGAAAGAACACTGCGATATAAAACATTGACTCCTAAGTTTTTAGGTGAATTTAGGCTGAGCTTTCTCAAACGACATTAAAATTGATAAAAATTACCCTTTTTTAAAATATTGACCATTAAAGTACAATTGATAAACCCTCAAAAAACCGAAATTCTTTCGAAACTGCACGTTCCATCTTGAAACAGTGCTGGCCCCTTGCGAAGAAGCAAAATGTGGAGTCTAGTAAAAGGTGAGAAACTCATATAATTTATCTAAAAAGTTTTATCTTTGTTATCGTTACTCTGCTTCTCACATTCTCACAGCTCAAAAATAAAATAAAAAATCAAACAAAAACATGCTCTCCAAAGCATTCTCTTTTATGAGAGCTTTTGTTCACTAAACAAACAAACCTCTGCATGAGTAGGTATGATTGTATGGTGGAGTTTGAGAACAAATTAGGATAGAATCCTTTGAAGAAGAAGTGAAGTATGCAGAAATGTTTCGTCAACAGTCATGTATTATTCCGACATTAGGCTACTGGTATTGACATTAGGCAGGATATGAGGGGTTGAGATGCAAAACCTGTTACTTCCATTTTAGCATCAACTTTTTAAAATACTGCTTTATGCATGAACATGCGTAAAATGAAGATTTTTCGGTTGCTTTTATGAAGCGTGTGTTGGGTTTTGGCCCAAAACTCTTTGTGCATCTGATATTTTCCAAAATGTCATTTAACGGGTTTTGCATCTCACCCCCTCATATTTTCTACCAATATTTGAAAATTTTAACAAAATCCTTCTACTGTATATTTGCCTCAATATTGTGTCATCATGTCACTGAACCAATTCTAATACAGTAAATATGGTATGGATAATGAATTAGTAAATAATTTAGTAAAAGCGAATGATCAATTTGTCAGTAAATACCTCCCACTACAAAATGCTTGAGGCTTTTTTCCTTGTCAGATACAATATCAAAACAAACATTTCAATTCCGCATTTACACATCAAGGTCAAAATACATGACATAAGATCTTTCATGCTTCAAAGTTCTTCTCAGTTTCAGCTCCTTCTGTAGTTAGAAATTTACATAAAAAATAAGTCACAAATTGCACACATATAAAGACAAAAAAAAAAAGAACTTTCTCATACACAAATTAAAATAAAGTTTTAAAGAATCTTATTAATATTATTATTATGAGGGATATCCCATAATTCTTGGCTCATGGGCAATACATGTAAATTGATTCACAGTAACGAAAGTAGAGTATGTTAGTTTTAGAACTTATTAATTTTTATTTCACAAAAGCAATGACTTAAAAAACAATCAGAAAATCCACAAAGAGTAATATTTTTCTTTTGAGTTTGAGTTCGTAGAGATCTGATGAAAGTAAAGTGACTTTTTCAATAATACACACAATCATTTTAATTTTCTATGAAGTTAACACATGGTTTTTTTTACTTCATTATCCCACATCTGTTACAAAAAAGAACAGTAACCCAATTATTCTCAAAAGTCGAAGGAAATCTTTTCCCAAAAGAAGTACACCTAAAATCATGATAGATCATCAGCTATGAGGAGGGAACAATTCCAATGTATGTGCTATTTATTTACTTCATTGTTCCACATCTGTCATGAAAAGGAACATTCACCTAATATCCTATAAAGTGAAATGGAAATTATCTATTCCAAAAAAGATTTAAAAAACAATACATAAAGAACCATGACAGCAACAATACACATGTTAAAAAATCCTGACAGATCAGAGACTATGTGGAGGGAACGGTTTCAATATAAGGGCAGTCAGCCGGAGCGATGCAGCGGCCGTTGTGGAAGACTTTGTCTGCCGTACACTGACAGCTGGCCACGCACGGCTTGAAGCACGTCTCTGTCACGTTGAGCTGACCGGCGGCCTGAGCCTGCTCACACGTCCTGGGGCACACCGGGCCACACTCGTCGAAGACTAGACCTTTACTGCTGTCACATTCAAAGGCTGGGGGGAAAAAAATACAATTCTAAATTTATACATCTGATGGCAGAAGAGGAGACGTGGAAAAGGCAACAACAATTTTACATAAGTCGGAAAATATGTTGGTCAGCAACCTCGTGCCCTTGAGAAAGGCTGAAGTCTAAAACATCATCATCAATGTCTTTCTCTCCTTGCACCAGGATATAGGCCACGCACAAACACTTTTCACATTTCTCTGTCCTGGGCTATTCTCTTGATGTGGTTCCTTGTCTTTCCTCTTTTCTGTACACCAGAGACTAAAACAGAGACTTGAATAATTCTATCATTGATGAAAATTTTAAACTCCTTCAACGAATTGGAAAATTCAACAACAGCACCCTAAGAACCATGTAGACAAATACACACTCCCTGATACATTTTATTTAAAGGGTCATTACAGAAAGGAGAATCACTGAGAATGCAATCATTAAAAAGTAGTCTTTTTTAACATTCGGAGGTAACAGTAACAGTCACTGAAAACACAAATTTAGATCAAGATGACTTCTGCGACAAATCTTTTCTTTCACTCTTATAAGAAAAATGAAAAAAACCCCAACTTTCTATTTACATAATTACAAGTTAAAAAAAAAAAAAGAAAAAAAAAAGACTGACTGTCATTTTAGGCTGATTCTCTTATCGTAACTCTGCACCACTTACCGCACAAGTTTTGTGACCTCCACTCAACCTTGACCCCAGCACGGGCACATTCGTGAGCATAGGTGGCAATGATGTCACACAGACAGTTGGGGTCGTCCATGCAGACGCACAAGTCGTAGACGCAGGAGGAGAAGAATGGCTCTGGAGAGATGACTCGATGGCACCTTGTGAATGGTGCACCCTGCAGGAACATCAAAAGAAAATCCAAATAGGTTTGCAAAACAGTGACTTTATCATTTTATATATATATATATAAATTCTATTTTCGATTAAAATTTTAACATTATAATCAATGTCTTCAATATCAATAGATTTATAAATTGAGCAGTGACAAACTGTGCATCTCTAGAGTGCACTGACATTTTACTGCTTTTTAAAACTTTTGACTCACAGGACAAGATTAAAGATTAAACAAAAATTATGAACAAATTCCATTCATTATTTTTATTCATATATTAACTAAACAATAGTAAACCAAGTATACTGTCCGTACATCATAACCAATACCTTACTTCATAACTTAGATTTATAACACTCATTACCATTCGCGGGGACTGTCTATAATAGTGCTGCGGCAACAGAAAGTAAATATCATGTCCAAAGTCAGGACACTGCATGCATGGAAGAAAAGTAAAAACGGAATATCTAAGATTTCCCCTACTTTCACTTTTGGAAATGTCAGAAAAAAGCAAGACCAATGTTTTTTGTTTGATTTCAGCCTAAAGCCAAGACAAAAAATCATTATCAACATGTCCTTGCTTCACAAATGAAGATCTATGACAGGCACGGTTCATGTCAATGGCCAGCACATATTTTGTAGCAGATAAAACAAATCTGGGACAAGCAGGTCTGGCTGCAACAGCTGCAGGTAAAGATCTGGTCTGGGAAAGGTCCTGAAGTTTTGCGGGTTCTTCCTCCTCTGCTTCTAGTTCTTTTACTCCGAGGGGGATAAACCAACTATGCCGGGGCCCTTTTTTGTATTAAATAAAAAAATTACGAAAACGTCACTAAATTGGTCATTAACTCATTCGCGACATATTATTTTCGGCTTGTGGATAAATTTTTTTAGGGAGGGCGAAATGAGATGATGACTAGTGCGAAGTTCACAGGTCTTGGGGGCCAAAAATTCAAATAAATATCAACATATCATATACCAACATTTTCAGTATGGTTTGTAGAATATATCTGTATTGTTTATTTGAGTATTTTTCAACTTTGGTTCCTGTAAGAGGCGATTATGCAACACAATTGTGATTGGCTGCGGATAAAATTTGAAAACAAAAAATTTATAATCTCAGATGAAACTCAAAAAGTATATTTGCACCTAGTCAAATTATACATCAAAATAACCATAACTGTATATAGAACAGGAAAATATTGAAAAATGAGCAGTTATTTACATGCATTCCATAATATTTGTACATTTGGATCATAACCTCCGATATTGAAAAAAAATAAATTTTTAAATAATTTTGAAAAAGGATCCCAAACAGAAAAAAACACTTGTATCTTATATGGAATTATTCAGAATTGCAATTGGAATAAACCTATACATGTCTTGGGTGGTACTTTTTGAGTAAATTCACCAAAGAGTAGTGATTTTGGGGAGACAAAAAATATTTTGACTATTTAGATCTAGGCCTACATCTAGCACTCAAAAATATTGATTTCTCAATTACAGTGCGCTGGCAATTTGAGTCCAGTAGTATCAATATTATAAAGAAGAGCCCTACACTTCTTTAGTGAGCAAAATAATGATACATTTTGTTGTGTAAAAGTACTAAGACTGGTGTCTGGGCTATAATTTGGGCTTCGCGATAAAACAATGTTGTATAAACTTCGAAATCGGGTTCCAAAACTGAATCAAAACTTCCGATTTTCGGTGGAAACGCTTGACCCGGAAGTCAACTTTATATTATGACCTTTATTTTAACATGGATATGTGGATTGGAATAGAAAACAAGCTAAAATTGAACGTCGGTTCTCGAGCCGCCATGGGCAGCTTAGCATACTGACAGCACTTTAGCCGCGCCGCCCCCCACGGCTCGGCGTAGCGAATGAGTTACGTCAAAACAAGTGAACCTGTTTTGATAGTTCTTCATCTACTGAATGAAATCCCCAAAAAAGAGACCTGTATTGGCAATTGACGAAAAGTAATTTCATGTCGAAGTCGTCATAAAGGAATGTTCTCGAGCTGCTGCCAGCGACTCACCAGCACAGCGCACAGCGGTTTGCTGAAGATAAAGTGTTAAAGTGTCCCATGGATAGATGCCTTATCTGCAAAGAGTGCCTGACAATCTGAACAGTGCAAGAGGCTCTGAATCTGGTAAAAAGGGCCACACACTAACTTTAGAGTATTGTAGGACCCTCTGAAATCACTGGAGTCCACACTACAGAGTTTACAGAAAATAACAAACCTTTAAAATTGCGCATCTAGTGGTGGCCTGCTTCCGAATCCTGTACCCAGCCGCCACACAAGGGTTAATGTCTTTGGCATCGACACAGGCGCCACCAGACTGCTCTTTGGTCTGAAAAAAAAAAAAGAAATGAAACTTGTTGTAGTTCACTTAACTAACTGAAGTAAACCAACATCTGGTAAAATAGCAGCTTGCACCGTATGCTTCCCAGGAAGTTGAGATTGTTTCAGAATAGATAATAACAGAGATTGTAAAGCGCATAGAGCTTGCTGTTGAGTGGGAATTTGCACTCTACAAATGCGGTCTATTATTACTATTATTATTATAATATAGAAAAAAATGCAAGAAGGGAAGTGGGAAGTAGTCGTTTGTCTTGGACAGATGGTCATTGAAGCAGGTTTGACTGTCCTTTTTCTGTTGGGGAAACTGTGTCCCACTCAGCCTGGCTTGGCCCTGATAAGCACAGTTGAAACAGCTGTCCTTAAATCTTCTCAACTATGTCAAACATCAACAATCATTTATAATCAGCTGACATACTTTTCCTCGAGGCAAATACTTGCCAGGTTCTGTTGATAAAAGAATTTAGGGTAATAAAATAAAGGGACTGGTAAAAACAATATGGTATTGGAAAGGTGGCGTCTGATCCAGATGTTATGTCTTGCTCGTCACATAAATAGAATTGCTAAGTACTTTACTGATTTCTTTTTTTTTTTAAATTAGATAAGCACATGCACATTTCTTGTAAAGTACTCAACATTTACACAAAACAATGGACCACACTCAACTTGGTCCTTTGAAAAATAGGAAAAATTTGGGCAACAATCTAAAATTAATCAACTGTTGCAATGATGACATAAAAATATGATTACTTTATTTATTCATATTTGCTACAAAAACTGTTCCTTACAATCTAAATTCAAAAACTGCTGATGGACAGAATTTAACCCTTATTTTCTAAACTTGTAAGAAAAAAAAAGAAGAAATATTTGAGCAGGAATAAAAAAACTCAGAACAGACCTTCCAGCTGTTCCCAAATGTTGCTGGTGAGTTTGTGATCTGTCCCGACTTTGTTCTCAAATCGTCTTGTGGGAAGCCATTGAAATTCCCACACAATCCACAAAGTTTCCTCTTGAAGGAACCTGGAACACACAAAAATATGCCCAAAAATGCATTGAAACAGACAAAGTCAAATCCTTGTCCCACAGATAGTCAATAATAAAGTACATAATGGGGTCACTTTTAGGTCAATGTCAGCATTATACACTACTTGCAAATCAATAAGGAAAAAATACTCACAAACATTCCTTTGAAAATGACACTGATTCCTTTGACTCAGCTCATAGACATTTTAAAAAACTAACAGCTTTCATTACTTTTAAGAAAGCTAAAGTTTAATAATAATAGTTTATCAGCCAATGACTGACAAAGACCAATGCATCTGCAGAGGAGAATATTTCTTAAGTGAAATGAAGAAATAAGATTTGTCGCATCTGCTTGGGCCATTGAGACAATTCTAGAAGAGAAAAGTTTGAGAAAGATTAGCAAAATTGAGATACACAATCTGCCTTTGACAGTGATAATGTTCGTGTCTGAATACATAAATAGCCCATCTCACAAAAATAGAACTGTTCATCCGGTTCACTTGTACAGGGATCCTACATAAACGTACAATTTGCCATTTCTCAGTTTCAACACTTTCAAGAAATCAACTTTCCTAGCACAAAAGCTGAAAAAGCCTTTATTTTCAACCTTGTCTTTCAAATTTCCTCTCTACCTTTGTTCAGACAAACATCACACAACACACCTGGCACAGTGAGCTCCCCGTAGCTGGACCCATCCCACACGACCTGTACGCCAATCTCTGTAGACAACAGCAACGTCCTGCTAGACTCTTCGATCAGAAGGTGAGGTTCATACAGGTACGGCAGATCCACACGACGTCCGTTCACCTGAGCAAAAACAATTTCTCTTTGTCAGATTAAACAGCCTGTATCTAATGGATTTCTTTCCCTCTATTCAAATCTTGTAATTAACATTTTAAAAAAAACGAAAAACAAATTAAAAAAACAAAAACAACAACCAACCTCCTAAAAAAAAAAAACACAACCCCCCCCCCCCCCCCCCAACAACCCAACAATCTACCTCCACTCAAGTTGAAATGCTTGTCTTTTTGTCTTAACATGTTTTGTTTCAGAACCCAACACTTTGAATTTGTTGGAGTTTTTTCTAAAACACTCTAGTCGTGAAAACTTCTTGGCTCCTGACTGTTTCTGTCATGATCTGCTCAATGATATGCATGTGAGGCATAGTGGTAAGATCAGGCGCCTTGTCAAAATAATGAAATGGAAGAAATCGTCAATTTTCGGTCAGTTTTGGAAATTAAAAAAAAAAATTTTTTTTTTTAGCTCAACACCTTGTGTCTATTCAAAAACATTCTAATGTGTGGATTTTATGGAAAAACTTTGATTGAAGGCAGAAATATGTTATATTGCAGTTTCCAAGGACCTTGAATTATGGAAGTCCCCAAACTTCTGTCAACAGAAACCTCGAAGTCCAAACGTCTTACTCTGCTCACCTCTTTTGTATGTTTGTCACTCTGTTGTGAGCGCTGTAAAACCTTACTAAAACAACAACAACAAGACAAGACAACCCCCAGCCCGACCCACTCACCAACACATCGCGGCCCTGTAACAAGTCCACCACAGCTCCGGCCACAGTGACCGTCAAGTTCTGGGCCCAGGAAACCTCGCCCGGGGCACCACGGTTGTCATGCTGGACCTCCACTCTGGGGGGGAAAAAACCACACAGAAAAAGTGAAAAAAGTTCTTTCCAGGCCTAATTATCGATCACATGTAGTGAACACTAAAATAAATGAATCAGACAAGAATGTATGTGAGGCATTGTGGTGAAATCAGGTGCTCATCAAAATAATGAAATTGGAGATATCGTAATTTTTCCACCCGTTTGGCAATTTAATATTGAATTTTCGTTTTTTTGCTCAGCACCTTTTACATCCATTTAAAAACTAATTTCTGTGCAGAATTTACTGAAAAACATTGATTAAAGGCTTACGAAATGTAAATTTTCAGTTTCCAAGGACTCTCAAGTTTTGGAAGTGTCAGCACACTTTGGGGGCCATTTTCTCGCTAATTTTACCTCTCAAACCAGGTGACCCCCACCTCATTCAATTGCAAATATCTCAACTTTTATTCAAGATAGATGGATTTTTTTTTTCTTCAGAATATAGAAAAATGAACAAATTTTAAGATTATCCAATAACTCCATATGCCGGAAAAATGATGGTCGCCTGATTCCATTGCATCGTAACATATGATATATTATTAACATTCATTTTGGAGATTCCTTTCACATTGAACATGGCTGTGCAATAAGCTCAGAGGGTATCATAAGGTATCATAAACACTTTGACTTTGCAAAGAACACAGTATTGTGAGCACAATTGTCTAATGATTAAGTGACCAAGGAAGACGATCTATATGCCAGTTTAAAGTCCTGTATGTTACGCTCCGGCTATGTTTATAGCCTGACGAATAATACGAGGGTCATGTTACGACCTAGATGCATTTCATCATAGTTGGCAAATTAGGTCCAAGCTATTGATGCACACTCATGACACTGTATCCCTTTCATTTCAACCCTAAGGCTCACATGATTTCACAACATCTCCTTTCATGTTCTGCAAGATTCCAAAAAATCTTATGAGCAATCACCAACTTGCTGGCTGTGAACTCACCTGAAGACATCGTTTTCACAGTCTGCAGCCATGAGATATCTACAAGTGCCCTGGAAATGAAGTGTGGCTCCATCAAATGTTCTGTAGTGGGGGTCGCCGAACACAAGGCATGTACCTGGTCCTGGAGGTGAGAAGGGGGGAGGAGAGGGAGGGGAGGGGGAGAGGGGTCCCAGTCCCCACAGATTGGATGATGAACTACTTTTTTTTTCCTATGCAACTTTTTAAAAATCATTTAACATTTTTAGGAGGAAAGAAAATGGTGGTTGACTTAATCTAAGCAAAACAAGAAAATTTCTATAAACTCAAAGGTTCAAATGAAAAAAGCAGACCTTGTTTCAGAATCAAAAACTGATTTGCATGCTCCTACGATTTAAAAAAAGTTATATATATATTCATTTTTCTTTTCTTTTTCTGTAAGAGTGAGAGAATATAATCAAAAGTAGAGATATTTCCTTAAAAAATTCTTATCAAAATTATTCTTTAAAGTAAAGTTCACGTTTTACCACTTAAAACATGACATCTTGGTTATGAATAAATATATATAATATATATATATATATATAAATATATATATAAATTGATTTACTGATTTACATCAGTTTAGCACATAGCTCAGTCTAAGCTTACGTTTCTGACAAACAGGACAGCACTGGCCCGGAGTGGTGACAGGAGCCTCGTCCTTGGCACAGTCGACAGTCGGACAACGCTTGACGTTACACGTGACACGCCCGCCCAAGCACCGGCAGTTGGTGCACTCATCCACTGTCCACTCCTCTCCTGGCTGGACCACCAGAGAGAGAGAGTTAAGAAAAGTAGAAAGACGGGAAAAATGCTATTTAGACTTACGGAAAAGAGGGAGAGAGAGAGAGAGAGATAGAGAGGAAGAGAATTTTAGTAAAGAGAAACACATACAAGTCATAACTGTCATTTAGGCCACAGAAAGAGAGAGAGAGAGAGAGAGAGAGAGAGAGAGAGAGAGAGAGACAGAGACAGAGACAGAGAGAGAGAGAGAGAGAGAGATTGAGAAAATTTGAGTAAAGAGAAACACATACAGGTCATAACTGTCATTTGGAGCGGGAGAAGACAGAGGAACAGAGAGAGAGAGAGAGACAGAGAGAATTTAAGTAAAGAGAAGTACAAAGATAGGAAAAAATGCTATTTAGACTTTGGGAAAAGTGGGAGAAAGGGAGAGAGAGGAAGAGAGAGAAATTTACGTAAAGAGAAGAACATAAACAGGAAAAATGCTATTCAGACTTAGGGGAAATTGGGAGAGAGGGGATAGAAAAAGAGAGAGAGAGAGAGAGAGAGAGAGAGAGAGAGAGAGAGAGAGAGAGAGAGAGAGAGAGAGAGAGAGAGAAAGAGAGAGACACAGAGAGAGAGAAAGATAGCATCATTCTTTAAGCCCCAGAGGACAATATGCCTGACAATAGCAAAAAAGCTCCAGGCTTATTCTTTGACAAGACAAAAATCTTACTACATTCATTAGAAATGTTGTCCAAAAAAACTGCAAAAGTAAGGGATTACAACAGAACTTTCAACTTTTCCTTAACTCTTCCCACACTAATCCATGATACATTGTAGATATCTAGCTACGCCAGCATCAATCCCCTCATTTATCATTGATATATATCTCCACTGCAAAACAAATATTTTTCTCAATGATAGACCAAATCTGTGAAAACGTATCATTTTTTTCTACCACTGTGTTCTCTGCTGTGGTTATTTTGTCATTGTTTTAATATATTATTACTACATGTCTACGTTAAAAAAATAAAATAAGTCCAGAAACTGGCCTCTCCTAAAACCACTATGACCCTATCCCATACTCATCTACCACAACTATGAGAACCCGCCTGGCACAGAAAGAGTTAACGAGAGGTGATCAAACCTGATTGTTGACAAAAACTCAAAAGCAGGGGATCCTGTAATTTATACAGATGGTTCAGTGAAAAGAGATAGCAGGGAAAAGGGGATGGGGATTTGTTGCATTCGCCAACAATAAAATCATACACAGTGCATCTGGAGCCTGCACAGACCTACATCATGTATGCGAATGGATATTGAAGCCATCACCAAAGCACTTGAATGGATGACCCAAGATTGCCCCCCACACAACCAATGCTGTTCTCATCACTGATTCCACGTGTATCCTAAGAAGGATCGAAAAAGGTTTCCTAAGACCAGAATGGATTCAACTGATCGAAGCAACGATCGCTCACATGGATTTTCTGCTCTGGCCATGAAGGCGTTAAAGGAAAGGAAAAAGCCGACAGACTGGCTGGAGGCCACCTCAGTTGACAGCACGGTTCAACCTGACAAGGTCGAGATCCTGAAATGTCTCTTTCGCCCCTTGATTGAAGAGGAAGATAAGGAAGCAGAGGTCAGTACTGCTGTGGAGAGGATGATGGTTTTGGGAAAACAAAAAGGAAGCAGAAAATCCTTGCAGGAAAGAACAGAACAACTTTCTACCAGATATGCACTGGTACAATCAATAGAAAGACCTTCAGCAGCATTTTTGAGAGAGCAATGAAGCATCAACGAACATGTCTGGAATGCAGGGATGTTTCTTCCTGAAACAATAAACAATGAACAATGATCCCACCTGGTATGTCCTGGCCTGGTAGAGACAGGTGGCGTCCGGCACAGGCTGACACATCTCACAACATTGACCCTCGGGGATCACAACTCTCTCTGTGCTGGCACAGCTGATCGGCTCGCACGACTGGATGCTGCACTTGATCTCAGCGTTCTGAAACAGAAGCCATTTTCTTATCATAAATACACTTGTCTACTTAACTGCTTTCCAGTTCCATTACGCGTTGGATAAATACATACGCATTAATAATAATAAAAAGCATTTGTATAGCGCAAATTCCCGCCCAACAGCAAGCTCTACTCGCTTCACAATCTATACTATTACCCCAGCAAACCTGAGAGCATTCTGAAACAATCTCAACTTCCTGCGGAGCAATCCGTTTTGTGTGATCCCATAGCAAAAACAAAATTGGATATGACAAACAAACAATAAGACACTATCTCAGAGAGCATGAAAGGTGCTATATTCCTGGAATTCAAGAAAGTTCTAGAATTGTTACAGACAAAGTTATCTTTTAGTTTAGTTTTAGTAAGAGTTATTTGGCACTTGCAACACAATAAGGTCATATAAATGCCAAGATTAATGATGGTATGAGAGAGAAACAATGCAAAAAAGAAGAAGAGACAAGGACAATAGACGTTTGATAGGAAAGAAGGAGCAAACCATACCAGAGCACCCGCCAACCACCCAGTCAAAGTTATCATCTTGTGAAAACACTCCATAACACTGATTTATCACCTGTTCAAATTCACATTCAAATGAGTTCCCCCGTATATTATCAAGCCCCATGATTCTTGTGAGTTACAAGTAAGGATATACGGTCACACCAATATACCAGCATCATTGTCAATTGGAAAGGGTTGTCATGTGATTTGTTTGACTTACTTTGTTACTGATTGGGAAAGTGACATCTAAATTATAGCTTCTATATTGGTTTCTTTTTGTGAGGAGACGGGGAATTGGGGAATGTGTCTCACTGTATCATTCGCAGAGGATTTAGACCTAATAAATTTTTTTTTTAAAGCTGGAAAAAAAGCCCCTTAAACTTTTTAGACCACCAACTTTCCGAAAAAACTGTGCAGGCTGCTCATCAAACACTGACCTTACAGACACAGGCGATGCACGGGTCCTCAACAGCCGTCCACTCTGACCCTTCTCTGTAGTACTTGGCCTCCGATAGGTCATAGCATGCTGGGGAAAACAAGGTCATGGACACATTGGTGAGATATTTTGGTACTTTTTGGGCATTTTCAATCAGCGTATAATCTTTTACTGCATTGTTGTTGAGGATGTTATTACTAGTGTAAGTCGTTTTGAAGGTGGAGCACTTCGTCCCATCAAGATATTGGGCTCAAAGAAAGCACTCAAAGAAGAACGAGAAAATAAATCGTTTGGACTGCTCTCAGATTTGAACAATAAACGTCCATATTGTAGATCAAGTACATAACCTGATTTTACAGCACTTACAACACAATAAGGTCATTATAAGTGCCAAAAGAAACAAAAAATGCAGTTTTTGGGACTTCTGAATAGACACAAAGGTCTTGAACATCTAGCTCTCACTGGCAAAACTGAAGGCAAATGAAGTAGGGGTAGGCCCAGAGCAACCTTCTTAGGGAACCTTAACAAATAGGTAACGGGGAAAGATCAGGGAAACGTAGCTTTTTTAAGAGCATCCAAGAAAAGAAATGAATGGAGAACCGTGATCGCTGATGTCTGCTGCAGATCTGGCACTGGAGGATGATGAGGATGATGAAGCGCCAAATATTAGATGTTTTACAAGACAGTAACAAACACAAAAGAGAAGGGGAGAGATAAGGATCACAGATGATTTTTTAAAAAGAATTACCAGGACACGAGGGGCAGCACTGGCCAGCAATATACTCCTGGACGTCTGGTGGACATGTCAAGGCTTTGCACTGCTCCTTCATACACACCCACATAAAGTCCTCCTGAAATACACACATTGGAAATACTCAAGCATACCTAGTGTACATTAGTATGAGGTCTTTAAGAGCAAAATATATACTTGTTACTTGTTACTTGTTTCTTGTCGCTTGTCCTGGGCAACAACGTCATTGCACACCAGACAGGTCCATAAGTGCTCAGTTCCTCTCAGCACTAAAGCCTGCTAGGTATCCAAAATGTAAGTGAATATAAACACATTTTCAAAAGTAAGAGTAGTGAGTCATTAAGAATTGTGTATAAAATTAAGCATTGAATAGCAAAATATGCATTTCGATAGAGTAAATCCAGGGCTGAGAAACAGGAGGAGCTCTCTCCAGGGTAGGCTACAACAACACATGCCTATTTCATATGTCGAAAAAACAAAAATGGAGCAATAAGACAATCTTTCTCAAAAATAAAATAAAAGTATAACAAAAGCAAATCACTCTACACTCATGAAAAACAAAACAAATCAAGATGATATTTATATTTTTCATGAAATTTTAGAACAAAATGATAACCAACTGAAAGTCAGATCACACAGATCTTACCTTGCATTCACAGAAGAAACAGGGATCATTTGGTCTTGGTCTAGTAATTTTCCCCAAGTCTTCAATGGTACATCCTGTAGAAACTGGAGAAAATAGTTTGTCCATGAAACTATACCACAAATAGTTTGGGTCAAGCTGTCTTTCCAATGACACTTAAATCACTGTCACAGAAACAAGCAATGCAAAAAAAAACCACAACAAATATTCATATAAACTTTCATTTCTTAGGATAATACTTATATTTAAATATAAACTGCACTTTGTATGAAAGGAGTGATTCTAACACAAAAAAACATACTTAGGTAGAGATTTTACTCAGCTTTTTTTTTCAGGTTTGTTCTCAAATACAGGGCTGTCTTTATGAATCAGAAGGTGTTTGGTGACTGCTCTGATGTGGTCTGTTTTTTCTACTTGTTTTCACAGTAACAGTTATTCTATCTTGTTTCTGTTCAAATACAGTCATAATTGAAATTAATCTATACTTTTGTAATGCCCCAAAAATTCAGAAAACATGGGTGCCAACTCTAATGTTGAGGCAATATTAAGGTAAGCCAATGTTATGTGGCCAGTCAAATATAAAGATGGTAGGTGACACACTTCAAGATGGGGAATAGACTAAGATAGACTGAAAGGAGGACAGACAGATCAAACAAGTAGGAACGAGGTAAGAAGTTCCTTGAATTATTGTTACACAGAAGGGAGGGGTGGCATTGGTTGATTGGGCTTATTACATCGATACGAGGCTTTAAGTGTGGAAACAAAGGAGATGTTCAATCATTTCTATTTTCAATTGGCCTATATGGTGCAAGCACTGGTGTCGATGGATTAGTAAGACTGATGCACGCAATTGTCAAAGTGGGAGATGTGAAGTTTTGACACGCTTGATCTCACCATGTATGGCCTCTGGACCCCCTCCCTCATAATTCGCTTGTTTGAGACAGAATGTGTATAAGATTAAATTTTTCCCCTGCTCCTTTGCAATTTCATCTCGGACAGATTTGATTCAACAGTTCAGTTCAAGAAACTCATAGTCATATGCCACATTTTTATAAAATCAATTAAATTTTTGCTTTCCCATGCCGCACATCTTTCTCCATCCATCACATCTTTTCCATGTCAGGATTGGACTGTAAATGACTTTTTCCATAGTCCGAACCTCACATCAAAAAGATATGTGATGGAAAAAGATCTGTGGCATTGAAAAGCAAAAAAAAAAAGGTAAATCTTATAAAAATATGCCATACGAATTTCTAGAACTGAACCATGGGATTGTACTTACAGCTCTCGTCACAGGTGGGACAACACGAGCCGGGCACTGGATCCCTCAGACTGCCCGCTGGGCAGTTGGCCACACTGGGACAGGTGTTGTGCAGGCAGCGCAGGTGGCCGTCCTCGCAGAAACACGAGTCACACGGGTCGCCGTTGGGCGTGAACTCATCCCCATCCCCGTACAGACGGCCATCGTAGTTGCATGCTGAAAAGGTAGAGTTTGACCATGTGATGAGGACAAAAAAGAATTAAGGATTATTCTTTTCTAACCTTTAAAGGAAACAGGCTTATCAGCTTCGCTAACAGGTTTGTCAAGGTATGTGCCGTTTAAGATGATTGCCCAGATTAGATGCATGTAGACTTGAGAAAACAAATTTGGGTATATACCATAATAATGATAATTGAATATGCACAAACTTTTTCATGGTAAGCACCATCACCTTTGTTAATGGACTTTTCATTACTAACCACACTTCAAAACAAAGCAAAGCAACTTTTTTTATTATCCTGTTTTCATTAGAGAGTCCTAGGTCAGCTCCCACTGGGGTTTTTTAAAGTCTAATTTCGTACACTTGGCAAATTTGAAACGCTGATTTTCTGGAAGAAAGTTGTCCTCTATACACGATAATATACAATTGCAACTTACTGCCATGGCAGTAGTACGGCTGGATGACAAACTTGTTCAGGAAGTGGAGATGCAGGGTCTGAATCTGAGAGGAGCCATAATCTTACCATGTAACTACAGTTGAAATTATCCAAGACAGCCCCTTACTGCTGAGGAGAAAAGTGGTTGTCTTGGACAGGTAGATGTCTTGGACAGCTTCATTATACTAAGTTTTTTAAAAACATATGGGGGGAAGAGGGAAGCGTTTTTTGTGTATAGGTGATAGTCTTGGACAGGTGGTTGTTAGAGCAGGCAGGTTCGACTGTTGACACTTACTGGGGCACACCGGGCAGCACTGGCCAGGCACAGTGACCGGGTTAGAGCACGGTACAAAGCACTCCGTCTCCATACAGGTGACCAGGCCAGCGTTACAGGTGCAGGTGATGCACGGGTTGTCCTGCATTAGCCAGCTGGCGTTGTCGTCATACAGGATACCTCGGAATGTACAGCCTGGATGGAGGAAGGGGGG